CTCCCAATGGAAATGTTTTTGGGCCGTTGTAGCGCGTTTGCACCTGTCAGCCAACGTACTTTCTAGCTTCCAACAAAAGAAACCAAAGCAGTTTGACACCATACATTACGTTACATGTCATTTTGTTAGACGCTTTTATCCAAAGCGACTAACATACATTCAGTACTGTGGACAATCCCCACAGGAGCAATTTGGGGTGAAGTGTCCCAGGGACACAACGACATGCTGACTGCAGTGGGACTCGAACTTGGTACCCCCTGATTCAAAGTCGAGCACTCTATCCACTGAGCCACAGCCGCCCCATACTTCAGCTTTATTGTTTGACAGTTTTGTTCCTATTACAGAATCACCTCTTGGTATCTTGAATCTCTCCATTTGTGCTGTAGAGAATCACACGTTACAGTATAGAGTAACATAACAGTTGTATAGCATTCTCCTTACAAGAATATTACCTTGTCATGAGTTATTATATCTCTATAAAATCAGTTTTATAAAATACTTACTGTAGCTGCTACATCTATATGTGAAATAACTAGGATGACTTTTCTGCATCTCACAACATGAACCCTCAGTCTTTACAATGTATCACCGTTTGAGCGTGCAGCAGTAAAAATCAATAGCATAGTTATGCTGAGTGGAATTGACTGACTGTGAAATTGCAATCAAACAGCAACTATTACCCGCAACCAAATAGACACTACAGAGATAAATGATCTTTGCAATCCCCCTGAAATTCAGTTTGCATTGTTATATTTCTTGTTTCAGTTTCATGGAAACATGTCCCTCTCATGAAATGTAATTCTGGCTCCCCACTTGAGTGAGAAATGCATTTCAGAGACAGAACGTATTCACTATGTTGTGTTGTAAAGGCCGGATTCATCAAATCAAATCAAGCCATGTCAGATTCGCTTTCAAATCAGTTTTAACAAGACACCGTGTGCCGAAGGACGACTGGGTGTCCTGTATGCTCACTTCAATGCCCTGGGCTTGAATATCATTTAACAAAGAACTGCCAGGGTCGCTGCACAACGAAAAGCGCCAAGGGGTTACATTCACCCACTATCAGACCGCATTGATTTACAAGGTAGAAGTTGTATTTATTCGTCACACTACAACACAGGGTTGTATAACAGAATGAAGTTCCTTTATGTTATTCACAACAACAGGGACTATAGTGCGAGGACACATTGCTCATGAAACCTCTCCGTCATCAAACTCTTCATCATTCAATTAGCAAGTCCGGATTTACAATAATAAAACTCGTTCTTTTGCTTATAGTGAAGGTTAGCTATTACGCACAGTACATTACATTTGTTTTCCAACCTTGAGGAAACAAATTCAGAACAGCAGGAATCCTGCATCAGCTTCAGATAAACCAAACCTTTTAAAGTGCTCTGTACAGAAATGAGGCTTTTTTGTTTTGATTGTAATGGTGCAGACAAAACAGGTGTTTATCTGAACGTGCAAAACCAATAGCACGAATATGAGGGGGGAGTTTTACTGGAGTTTAAAGGTGGCTATTTCTAAAAAATGGTGCTTTGTTTTCACGTGTTTTTATCTATAGGGGATGCTACATAACACACTTTCAGGAAAGGTTACTGAATATTACTTTGAAATAGAAAAGAAAACACGAGTAAATATTTCCAATATTTTCCGATGTGTGTGTGTTAGTGTGTGTGTGTGTGTGTGTGTGTGTATACATCACAAGATATTCAAATCGCCCACACCATCATATGTTTGTTTGTTACGAAGAGGTGGGAAATATAGGCAGCCTTTCTTTCTGTTCACCACAAACGCAAATGATCGCACAGAATCTCAATGGCTACACAATTGCAACAGTTTATTTTTGTTTTGTTTTTACAAGAACGTCATGTATGGATACTACTTTTTACAATAAATCTAAAATATGGATACAGCGGGTCGGACAAACCTCGCTTAATTGTATGGTAATAAATTCAAAAGTGTTACTCTTGAAGGGTCCACACTGAATGGGAACAGTCGAGACATCACCAGCTGTGACAAACTTGTAACAACAGCCTGACGAACACCTCTTAAAAGGAACCAATTAAACCTTCTCAGAGATTTCAATTACCACCCTGATAGGCTTTTCAAGATCAATAACGGAGCGTGTATTTTTACAAGATGGTCAGGGTTACCAGGGGCTCGTGCCGCTCCATCAGTTCGGAACGACAATGAAACATCGTTGTTGTTGATGTGTCTCCCCGGCGATGGCATCAGTGTGTGTCGTGATAAATATTCATGCATTTTTCTTAGCGCCAATGCAAATTGATATCAAAGATGCACATCCTACACAAGCTATCATTAAGGGTTATGGGATCAAATGGCACGGCAGCACCCAAACAAGATTAGAAAATGTCACACGCCGCCTTCTTAGCCCGATCCCCTTCATTTTCCTCCTCCAGTGTCTCGTTGAGAAGAATGGAGACGAGAGAAGATTCAATGCACAGAGCCAGACACTGCTCTCCAGCGCATACTAATGTAGAACAACATCGGGTCTGTTCCTCCCCACTGATGCGTGTTTAAGTGTGAGATAGGGCTCTGCAGAGCTGATCACTTAGGGAAGGTTGTGGCCTGCATCTGCACCCCTCCCTCGTGCAGGTTCCTATCACTTCCAAACTCAAATTGGAAGTGACAGGCCACTCAGGCAGAGGTGTCTTCGCTCCCCCCCATCAGCAGCCATGCAGCCCCTCTCAAAGCTGTCAGCCTGATTATATATCAGCAGGTCGGGGGGGACCTGAGGAAAGGAGATGTCCAGCTGGAGACAGACCACTAAACATGTCGTCTGTCCGGCTGACGCACATCTGCCAATACACATCGCACCTGTCCCCAAGGCTGCCACAAAACCAATCGGTACGTCTCCATCACTCTGCGGCTGTCCTCTGGAAGCTCAGCCAACTCAATCTGCCCCTGTCTCTCCTCCCGTCTGCAAACTACATCTTTTTCAAACTTTGGTTATCTTTGGGGGCTGTCTTTTATTTCTTCTTCATAGCAGTGGTGGGAAAAGTACTAAAATAGTGTAGCAGTGTAAAGTGTACTTAAAAATGTACTTAAAGGTGGGGTAGGTAAGTTTGAGAAACCGGCTCGAGATACACTTGTTGTTATATTCCATGGAATGCTCTTAACATCCCGATAGCAATGAATATCTTAAGTGCTTTGACAAAAAATCCATAAAAAATGTCATCAGTGGAAGCCGTAGTACTGTAAAAAGCACGACCAATCATTTTAGCCGGCCCGGCTAAAATAACTGGATGGCCTACCTGCCTGTCAGCCTTCCATCTGTGCACAAACTTATCTCGTGCCCTCATTGGTCATGTGCGCGTTCGTGTGTGTTGGAGGAGGGGCTCTGTAAGGAAGTGGCAGATTTTTTCCGGTTGTGTATTTTCAAATTCTAGCGCACCCAAGCTGGTTTCTCCAAAATTACATACCCCACCTTTAAGTAAAAGAACAATAATGTTAACATCAAAATATACTTAAGTAAAACTACTTATCAAGGTGAGATTTAATTTTCACTCCTGTGTTGTTTACATAACATCACACACAGAGGCGTACATCATTTTTCATATTTTTAATTATATTTAATAAAAGCTGCTTACATTAACCAACAAAATGACTACTCACCACACACGTAGGCCTGAAATACACTTCTGTATTTCATTACAGCTGCTTACATTAACCAAAAAAAGTACTACTCACCACTCTCGCCCATGTCTCCCAAACAACCAGATTACCCACCTCTTAAAAAAAACTAGATGCACCTGTCTAATAAGCTACATCTGATCTGATTCCTGAAATCAGCCTCAGCTCATCAAACCACTTGCAATCAGCAAAAAAGCTGCACTCATACACATTAATGTGCACAGATACAAATACATTGGAATCCTTTTGGACGAGCCCCCATTTGTTAGAACCCGGCTCATACGCTGAAATAATGATGGGAGACAAGACGAGTTCACGTGTAACAAAAAACATATTTATTTACACTACACTACAAAACTTAACAAACCAAAAACAAACGTGAAAGTCAGTAAATAGAGTATACATGTATGGTTGTGTGAAACAAAACAAAACAGCAGCTGTGTCCGAAGGAAGATTGACCCGCCCTGATTGATGGTGTTTGGCTTTTTATCCAAACCTCTCAGGTGTGGCTCATCAGACTAATGACTTAGATCACCTGAAACTCAAATTAAGACCCAGCAAGCAGAAGCACACAGACAGAGACCCCTAGTGGAGTGGAGGGGGTCGTAACAGGTGTCAGAGCGAAGGGGACAAAGAGACAAACTGTCACCTCTATCAGTATACACTGTGTAATTGGTCCAATCGGTACTAGACCCTTCGATTTCCAAGCCCTACAAGTCCCTACAGACTGAGCCCATTTGATAACCAGATATTAATATATTATTGGATTTTAATTAGTGATGCATGAATATATAGACTTCTAGTTTGCTTGTGGTAAAGGTGTGGTTCATTTGAATGACTCTATATAAAGTTTGATAGCTTATATGTATTAGCTGCAAAGTAACTAAAGCTATCACATAAATGTAGTGTAGTCAAAACTACAATATTAGCTCCAAAATGTAGTGGAGCAAAAATGATCCTGTTGCATAAACTGAAAAAGTTAAGTACCTCAAATGTCTATTAGCGTAAATGTACTTATTCGATTCTAACACTGCCTCCTTGCATCTATTCCCCTCTTTATTGAGATGTCTTCCCCTGTCTATCCTCACTGAGCATCATTTACCAACTCTTCATGCTCTTGGCATCTCATTACCGTGATAAAGCTACCTGTCTTCCCTCTGCGGACTAGTAAAGCACTGCTGGTTTTCCCACGGATCAAAAGAGTCTACTAAGTGATAGGAAGTGTTCAATTATTGCAGCCTTTGATGCTTCTGAGGCGCCCAACTCTCTTCTACAAGGACGAAAAATACATGTTGTTTACCTAAGTGCTGATTTTCTTGTCTCCTCTCTCCTCTCTCTCCCAGGCGTGAAGCTTGGAAGCACTCCCCGGCAGTCCAGAGAGGTACGTGTTTACTCCGTCTCTGCACACACATCCGCAGGTTGCTCCCAACTGTTATTTATAGTAAAAAAAAAAAAGTAGTGATTGTCGGCCTTGTAGCTCTCAGCGTGTCTGATAGTATCTGTGAAGAGAGGCCAACCTCACACTGTGCCTTCAGCCTGACTTCACTGAGTAAACAGTCCCACTTTAACAACACTATGTTCCTCCAGATGTTTTATTTTGTATTATTTATTCTACTATTTCGACAATTAGGTACCAACTTAGGTTTGGTACCACTTTACAATAAGACTGCCCTTATAAAGGGTTTACGAATAGTTTGTAATTCATTTATTAATTAGGTTGTGAACACTTTATAAATCATTAATAAGCTTTTATAAGACATGAGATAAACAGGGCAACTGTGACCGGTTGCTTGCCAAATAGTGAGCCCACATGTATCTGTACTGCTAAGTCTTATATTGGCTACTTAGCTTACTTCGTCTTCTTCATCAGCCAGCATCCTTGGTATCTGTTGTTCACTGAGTTAATTCTCACTAAATAGCCAATATAAGGCTTAGTCATCTTGCCAAATAGTGAGACCACATTTATCTGTACTGCTAAGTCTTATATTGGCTACCTAGTGTACTTCGTCTTCTTCATCAGCCAGCATCCTTGGTATCTGTTGTTCACTGAGTTGATTCTCGCTAAGTAGCCAATATAAGGCTTAGTCATCTTGCCAAATAGTGAGACCACATTTATCTGTACTGCTCAGTCTTATTAGAAACGGTAGTAACTCATTAATGAATGGTGATTTGTTTCACACTTTACAATAAGGCTCCCTTTTGGCAACTATACATGTTAGTAACTCCTAAATAAATGGTCATAAGAGATGCCAAGAAACATCAAGATGGATGGGGGGGGGGGAATCAACTCAGTGAACAACAGATACCAAGGATGTTGGCTGATGAAGAAGACGAAGTACGCTAGGTAGCCAATATAAGGCTTAGTCATCTTGCCAAATAGTGAGCCCACATTTATCTGTATTGATAAGTCTTATATTGGCTACTTAGCGTACTTCGTCTTCTTCATCAATCAGCATCCTTGGTATCTGTTGTTCACTGAGTTGATTCTCACTAAATAGCCAATATAAGGCTTAGTCATCTTGCCAAATAGTGAGACCACATTTATCTGTACTGCTAAGTCTTATATTGGCTACCTAGCGTACTTCGTCTTCTTCATCAGCCAGCATCCTTGGTATCTGTTGTTCACTGAGTTGATTCTCGCTAAGTAGCCAATATAAGGCTTAGTCATCTTGCCAAATAGTGAGCCTGTGTTGATGTATGAAAACTATGTTAGAACTGGTTTATAAATGGTTCTTAATGATTAATAAAGTGTTTACAACCTAATTATAAACCCGTTATGAATCCTTTATAATGGTAGTCTTATGGTAAAGTGGTACCGACAGTTTATACATCCAAAAAACAAACAAACTTAGTAGAAGCTGGAGGGCAGAAAGCAAAGCTTATACAGAGGTAGCCCTCCCGTTAGTCATCCAGTTGCAGGATGAAGTAAAAAAAGATTTGATTATTTTGATTTGTTTCGATTTATTTCGAATGTGTAAAACAATAATACAAACATTTAACATGAGAATGATTTTACAATACAAAATCAAGCAGTGTCAAATTGATATACAGACATATTACTGATTCTAAGTTATGTATAAACAAATGATCTACTTAATTACACATCGGAAAAGGGGTGGGAAGAAGTTTACACTTATTTAATCCCACCCCTTCTCCCAAAAACTAAATTAACATATATACATTTTATTTATTTTTCAAAACCATAAAACAACCAATAAATAAACAAACAAATAAGCCGATAAATAAACAAACAAAGAAACTCACAAATGGGGCGTAGCCTGCGAGCTAGTTCAGGCAGTCAACTCGAGCACTTTGCTGCATTCATACATAACGCCACTCTACAACCAACCAAACAGAGTCTCCTTAATATGCCGCTCTATTGAACCTGCCAGATATCTCTCTATGCATTGCTTGCTGCTGCTATCGCTGCTGTTACATCCACGTCGCTGCTGCTCGCCTGCCCCACCACCACCCCAGCTTCCAGCCCAGCTTCCACCTGTAGGCTCTGGGGATAGTTATCTAATCATCACTCATCGTGCTATGTATATCTGTGGAGTGATGAGGCCCGAGCCAAGACGCCAAACTCAACTATATGCTGCTTCTAATAAACATGTTAAAGACACGTGAGTTGTCTGACTGAAATACAAAACAGAGGTCAATCATATTCAAGAAAAGATAAAATAACAAACCAAATAAATAAATAGACTGCAAACACCCAGTTGGGATTAAACAGCGTCATCCTGTATCTCGTTAACATCATGTCCTTATACCTTTTGTTAAACAGATAATTCCGTAATTAAATACTCACACAGATAAACAAAAATCTATATATACGTACACAGACATATGTACACACATACATACATACACCCACTTCCCGGGTGAAAATAAAATATAAAAAAATAAGAAAAATAATTTCCTACAAGTCCATGTTCAGATAACATGACAGTTTCAATTCCTATTTTTATGTAAACTGATAATTAAGATAATTATGATGATAGTCATTATAATTCTTATAGTATTTATAATTATAATCATTATCATTATTTCCCAATGCAGAAAAATCTCAAATAAATAATACATTAAATGAAATGTAAAAACAAATAACTTCAAATCACCTCAAACAATTAAATTATTCTAAATAAATTCGACAATTACTTAAATGTTCATAGGTGCCTATTTATTCTCTCTCAATCTAAAAAAAAGAGGCTATTCTGGTATAAACTGTTGGCTAGTTTAGCTTATAAAACACATACTCTTTAGCTTTGAACTGTAGCGGAGTACATGTAGAACTTGTCAGGTAAAGAAAATACTGAAGTTATGAACATGTACCTCAAATTTGCACTAAAGAGTAAAGACTATACTTAAATACATTCAACCACGTCTTATACATTCAACCTTTGTAAACATTGGTAGTAACTGGATAACAGTCTATCCATTCCTTTGCAGACACATTCTTTATTCTTAACATTAACTAAATGAAACACCAAAACCTTATGCCTTAAAAAAAAGATAGAAAAACCCACAAACCAAAAACAGAAACATTTTTAAGGCTCCAAGTTTTGCAGGGGGTAACTTTTCTTGACCTGCATTAGAGCATTCTTAATGTATGACAGCACCCAGGATCGGACAGATACGTTGAGGAGATGTTTGACTCTGTGAAGTAGGTTTCTGTGTCAGACATGCAGCGCTCGTACTCTCTCTGCTCTCAGCTGACCCTCGCCGCCTCTCCTCTCTGATACTCAGCACCAATGAGAGCCTTACATCAGCGCAAACCCTGCAGAACATGAGTCTGCTGTGGAGGAATCTGCTGCACATTAAACAGACAGGGAGGGACCACTCCCCCACTCCAGATGTCCCTGCAGATGAAACTATATGGCCATTTAAGTCAGGAGGGGGATGAGCCAAGATTCATGATGGTCCCATCACCTTGGCTGTTGTAAAATTAAAATTATACGTCCAGTCCATTGGCTTTATGATGCCATTACAGCATTTAATTGAAATAAAATGTCAGAATGCATAATGGCCTGAGGCATCATCTGATGGTAATCAAGCAGTAGATGAGTCCAATTCACATTCTTCATTAGGTGTTTAGACGACATTTATTTCATGTTACAGCACAGTTTATGGATAGGTCATGGATGGCATTGGATAGTGTGTGACATTAGCATGTGACAAAGTTAGACCTTGGTGAAGCTGTAGTGAAACAGCACCACCAGGTGGCCTGTGTGAATACTGCAGGCAGGATGTGGGAATACATGTTGCTGTTTCAGGCAAAAATGCTGGATTTACAACCTGATTAGGTACAAAGTATTAACTCTATGTTTGTGCAGATATATGTAACAATGTGATTGGTGCAAACACATATATTCTACTGTCTACTACAACCTTTTTTGCTCATTTGTTTACAGACTCTCTCGACGCAAGAGAGAGAAAGAGGCAAATCTGACAATTACCAGGACCACCAGGCGACAGAAGTCATCATATCCAGTCCGATCCCTCCGATGCAGTTCCCTCACTTTGAGAAGGGTAAACAGACGGCTGCTCCTGGGTCCAGAGAGCAGAGCAGACAGACGCCCACCCCGGTGTCTCGGGAGCAGGACATTTCCTCCCTTCATGTCTCCAAAAGACACCGCAAACTGCTGAAAACAAGTCCCCCTGTCCATCACAACAGTAAAAGTGATTCCTCGCCCTCTTCTTCTTCCTCGTCATCCTCCTTGTCTGCTTCCTTGTCCTCATCCTCAGTCGTCCCCCCTTCTGCTTCTGGCTCTTTCACCCCTGATAAGTGGAAAAAGCTCGTCTCTATACAGGAAGCGCGCCGGCAACTGATGAAGGAGATGTGCGCCAAGTACAAAAGCAGCATCTCCAAGACCATCACAGGCCACCACGTGAGAAACCTCTTCGTGGAGGACAAGTACAAGTTGTTGTACTGCCAGGTGCCCAAGGCAGGCTGCTCCAACTGGAAGAGGACCCTGATGGTTTTGGCGGGAAAGGCTCCCAATGCTCAGAGCATCAAACACGACACAGTTCATGACGGCCACCACCTCAAGGAGCTCAACTCCTTCGACCGAAAGGGAATCATGCACCGTCTGGAGACTTACACTAAAGTCATTTTTGTCCGAGAACCCTTGGAGAAAATGGTGTCGGCGTACCGGGACAAGTTTGAGAACCCTAACAACTACTACCACTCCATGTTTGGGAAACCCATCATCTCCAAGTACAGGGTGAACCCGTCGTTAGAAGCGCTGAAGACAGGCAACGGGGTCACGTTCAAGGAGTTTGTGCAGTACCTTCTGGATGTCCATCGGCCAGTGGGAATGGACATCCACTGGGATCAAGCCAACCAGCTGTGCAACCCGTGTCTCATAGACTACGACTTCATCGGCAAGTTCGAGAACATGGACGAAGAGTCCAACTTTCTCCTGCGATTGATTGGGGCGCCACCCAACGTCAAGCTGCCAAATTTTAAAGATAGGAACCCAGCCGATAAGAGGACCTCTACGCAGATCACAGAAAAATACTTTTCACAGGTCAGCACGTTGGAGAGACAGCGGATCTATGACTTCTACTACACAGACTATTTGATGTTTAACTACACTAAACCTTTTAAAGATTTATATTAACTGACTCCTATCAACTCTTGAATCACAGTTACATTCCACGTCTTCATCGCTACCATGATAGAAATCATAATTCACATGCTCACATGGATCTAAGCGGAGGCATCAGAGAGACTGAACTTCCTCCGAATTTTTCAAGAAGCTGCCTTTTATGTAAACATTTCTACGAGATTCTTCGTTCTCAGACGACTATGAGATGGAAGGTTCTTGTACTATCAAATACTCTAAATTGCCCTTGTAGGAAGTTGTTTATTCCCTACTAGCACATGGTGAGGTAGAATATTAAATTGATCAATGTTATGCTTGTGAAAAGCTTTAAAATTATGCCTAATATCCTGTAAGTCAAATAGGATTTTCAAATGCTTTTTATGATTTGAGGTTCCACTTGGGTGCAATTCCATTAAGGTTTTTATCACAATACTTCAGTCAGAAGTGATTTATACAAAACAGTATGTTATATGAGCCCCTATTATCTACCTTTAAGATACCAACGCTTCAGATGATATCTTATGAACAGTTTTTCATAATTATTTGAGCTTTTCTGTTCAAATGTTCAGACGTTCAGTGTTAAATGCATCCAGTCATTTTTAAATAAACTTCTTTAGAAACTTGATTCGCTTCAGGCAACAAAACTTGAATGTAAAGTTTATAAAAAAAATCATTATTTGTTCTAGATGTAACTACATACAATGTATGAGAACAACCGTAAATAATTCACAACAATAGTGGGTACGGTTCCTGTTTGAAATCAGATGAGGGTCATCTAATAATCAACGCAATAACCTGCAATTTGACCTCATGTAATGTTCTTTTTGACTTACAGTATGTTGGGCATAACTATACCTCTATGTATCAATGAATACTAATGCAGGTATTTCATGTGAATGGTTTTACTGATGCTAAACTGTAAGAAAATGAAACACTATAAATTGTATAAATCTGTCAAGTGTGGCCCACTCCGAAGCTGTGTGCACTTACTGTAGCATTTTTGTACTTCTAACGTTGTGCTTTAGTCTAACACATACATGTGCTGTAGGTCACTAAGAGGTATTTACTTGGGTGGTTGTAGTTGAATGCAGGACATCCAGGTATTTACAGGGTATTATGTGTGGCTGCCAATATGTACTAATGCCTATCAGTGTTACAGACTTGATAATCAATCAGTTTCTAGATTCTGTTGATGGCAAGCAAATGGGTAAAAGTCAACAACAAAAAAACACAAAAACAGACTTTCTGATGTACGATTCGGACATTTTTAAAGAGTGTGTGCAAACTAAACACGCCCTGAACAGCGATCACTTCTCACACCATCAGCCTCTCTACACCATCTGTATGTAACACATCTACTCTACACCACCATATAGGCTTTTTTCTGACACTACTGTGTACAATTGTATAATGGGCATTCAGATGACTCTATATTTTTATATGTATTTCTAAAATATACAGTATATATTCCGTGGTTATGGTGAAGGTAGTACATTTATTTCCTTTTTGATGTCATTTGTTGTTCTTTCAGTAATACCAGTGTAGAGTTGTTGTGTGCCAGACGAGTTTCTTTCCAAAGCGAAATATCCACCAGCTACAAACCACATGCTAACTCTAAAGAAACGTAATGACTGCATTGAAGAATTGATTCCCCTTTGTGCTTTGGTTGTAACGAAATAATAGTTTTTCTTTTGAAATGATAATGGATATATGCATTTTTGGAAATTAGCTCTGTAATTAATATCCCTGATCTGTTTTTCTCAATATGAAAATAGACCCTGTACAGATGAGCTGCATTCCACCACCATGACATAGCAACTCCTGTGTGTGTGTGTGTGTGTGTGTGTGTGTGTGTGTGTGTGTGTGTGTGTGTGTGTGTGTGTGTGTGTGTGTGTGTGTGTGTGTGTGTGTGTGTGTGTGTGTGTGTGTGTGTGTGTGTGTGTGTGTGTGTGTGTGTGTGTGTGTGTTTTACAATTTGTTTCCTATATCTTTTGTATACTTGCACTGCTAAAAGACACAATTTGAAGGTATAGTATTTTGTGTGTGTGTGACATGCTACACTGCTAAGGTAAATTCCCAACACACCTCCCAGCTGGCACGACAAGTAGAATCTTTATTTCATGAATTATTCCTTCATGCAGGTCAGATCACATGACGATGTGCACAAGTGAAATCAGCGCAGAGAGCACTCAAACTGTTTTAAATTAGGGCTCTCATAACACTTTTTCTAAGACTCAGATGTCTTGGATACACTAAGGTTTTAAAAAAAAAGGACAATTCAGCACATGATCACGTACTGTAAATATCCAAGATTATATTGACTGAAAGGCGAGGTTTGTCCCCAAAGATCTGAGTTTAAATCTTGGTTTATACAGTGTAAGCTTACTGTACAGTGAGTGTGATGAAAGAGTGACCACATATGATGATATGATACAAAAATAAAACATGCAAATTAATATATTGAGGTGAATACAGTGAAATACATTGAAAATACATATAATAACTTAAATCAAGATAAAGTGTGAAGCCCGGCAACAACCAAAGTGAGTAGCAGAATATTTTTTAAGAGGGCACGATGCAAACGTTATTAATTGTGACGCTGGGAACGACCTATGGCTAGTCTCCTATATAGTAGCTATACGCTTTGCAGCTCACTGGAAATGTGTTTTATGTAACAAAATACTACCCTATACACACTATAATCAATCTTTAACAATTTTGGTGGTAGTACCCTTTCACGGTGATGGTAATTGTATGAACTTTTGTCAGTATACTGTGTTGGCTTTTGCAATTCCAAAATCTAATCCTTGTTTAGTTTGTGGTCAGATTCTATGTAGCTAGGTATAGCCAAAAGCAAAAAGCTACTGCATTAAGACGAGTATTACTCTTGCAAATACTCCGTCCCCCCCGCCCCGCCCCTGCTAATAAAGTTTTCTTGGTATGTGGGTGTATGGACAGATTTATCAAAAGCGTAATTACAGTAACAAGTGAATGTATAACTGTTAATTGTTGGTGCAAAAGTGTATAAAATATGATCTTAAGCCCTTTGCCTTATTTTACACTGCCAATCAAATGGTGTATTTCAGGAAGACATTCTACAGGAGGTTATTATTTCTGGCTGATGAGTGTCTACTAATAAATTGTCTTTAGCATTTTCAATGTGTGTTTTCATTGTTCGTGTTCTTGCACTTGCGTTGTTAGTGTAACTCAAATCCAATGTGGTTTATAAACTGTAAAAGTCTTTTAAAGAGGTCGTATTGTGCTCCTGTCCAGGTTCATATCAGTATTCAGTGTCTCTACTAGGACATGTATCCACTCAAACACAAAAAAGCACACATTTAGTTACAAACCACTGAATTTAGATCTAATTAAGTGTTGGATTGTGTTTGTAGTAATTGCAGCAATTGGACTATGATAAATCCCTACGGATTATCAAAGACCCCTATCACCCCAGCCACAAACTGTTGTTTCTGTTGCCGTCTGGCAGATGTTACCGCAGCATCCTGGCAAGGACAAGAAGATTCGGAGACAGTTTCTTCCCGCAGGCAGTGAGACTGTTAAACAATTGAACTGCTGAAACAATTTCATAACATTCATCTGCTACTTAGTAATATATATCTACTATCTAATATATATCATTCCAATAACTTGTATATAGACTCGTACTGCACTATTCCACTTTTTTTTTTCTCTCACTTTATTTTAGAACTATTTTTCTTTTTGTATTACTTTTACTATCTGTATTATTGTGTTGCATTGTTGGAGAAGCCTGTGACCTAAGATTTTCAACGACATAATTACTCTGTAGCTATGTTAGTTTGACAATAAAGAACTTTTAACCTTGAATCTTATATGTAAGTGAGGTTATATTTTTGAGTATTTCTCAGTAGAACGTAATATAAGTACAGGGCCGTCCCTGGCCAACATGAGATAGAGGCCATAGAGATGTCCCGCCCCCTTAGCCTATCACGTACAATATGTTGGAACGCTAGCCAATAGAAGTGCGAGAGTTACGTAGTGATGTCAATATTTTGCAGAAGTAAACAGAGGAGTCCAATGGAGGTGTTTCAGGCAGGGATTTTAGCCCATGCACAAAAACCTATAAAACCCTTTACAGGAAAACCCCAAAAAGCATCACAGGTCCTCTTTAAAGAACTCCAGCATGAGAATAAGTAGTGTCGGGCTTAGCTTTGGCTCAGTGTATTTGAATAAGTGACTATTTTCATTCACAATATATAACAAAAAAAGCAGTATTACTGGTTTAATGTTCCCAGTATTCATCACACAGTGCAGCTGATGTTTATGGGATACTTTTGCAGATATTTTAACCAAAGTATTTGACAAGTAACCTGATAATGGAGCTAAATAAATGATCAGGGGATCAACAAAGTCATTTAAATTCATCCTGAGAGGGACATTGATGTCTGAACCAAATGCCAAGGCAATCCATCCGATAGCTGTGCCATTGAATTAAAACCAACCTTCTCTGTGTTTCACCAACATAAACACAGCTCATTCAGATGTGGTAACAGATGCTTTTGGGCCCTACTTCAATATGACAAATGTGTGTGGTTTCAAAGCTCTTCTGTGATCACTCATTTTAAATGTCAATATAGTTGTTTATTTACTCTGATGATGCCGTGATCGTGCAGTAATGATGCTATCTGCAGCTGCGGCAGCTCGCTAATGCCTGCTGGTCAACATAGTATTTTGTGAGCTGCGATCCAATTTCACAATCATCGTGTTGATAGCAGTAACTGAAAATATGTAAATGAGAATGACTATATTGTGAATTTGGCTCCAGTCAAACACATTATTGGAGATCAGAGAGATAAGGAGCCACTAAAAGGAGGATTCAATTCAATTTAAAGGGGCTTAATTGTTATGAAACGAGAACATTGTTGCCATGCATCAATTGGTCTAAACATTGTGTCTCTCACTAGCTGCTTTGTCTATGAAGACAAAATCGGTAGCAAATGAAAAGTCTGAATAAGAATTCATTTAAAGTCAACAACCAATAAACAAAGTCAATAAACAAGTTAATTTCACGCTTCAGAAAGCTACTTCAGCAACAATAGAGCTGGGGCATAAAGATGGTGGAGCAAACACAGTGAACCCAAATTCTTTGAATGGAGGAATTCATTGTTTTCAGGAGCTGTGAAGGAGCCAGAATGTGATGCAGCAAAAGCCTGTTTACACAAAGCACAAGTGAAATATGTAAGGCTGTTGTTGAAAAAGAGTCAGGAGGAGCTATCCTCTTGGGAACATGAATGTCTCAACATAAAGTCAAGCCTTCCAGTAGTTGTTGAGATGTTTGAGTCACGATGAAAGTTAGTGTACGAACCAACTGATTGTCAAGTTAGACAATGAATTGCCATTTTATACTTTTATTTAACCACTACTGGTCCCA